TGGCACAGTGTCTCTGCAGTGCACAGCCACGTACCTCAGCAGCTCAGGAATGAAGCACATTCTAGAGAAGTTCTTTAATGCTACTCTAGCTCTCCTAGGGTGTACTCATACCATATGCAGCCATTTCACCTCAGCACGCCCATAGCAGGTCCTGATGCAAGCCCTGTGCCAGCAGACAACCTGGGAACAGATGCTGCTCAGTATCTCCTCTCTCCCTGAAACAAAAACCTTTGGAAGTTCTTAAAGGGTACTACCCTGCTCAAAGAAGACTGCAGCATGTGTGTGTATGTGGTCTGGGAAATAATTTCCTGGGCTACTCCAAACTCAGAAGCCTTGCTCAATACAACACTAGTACGTACACAAAGTGGGATCTCCTCCAGAGGAACATGAATATAATTAAAGATATGAAAGCCTGATTTTTTCAGAATTAAGAGAAATGTGATCTGGAATCTTCCCACTCATTAGCTGCCAACAAAGCATACATGATTTGTGGTTAGTAAATAGGGAACACCTGGCTTATCCCAGGTAAATGCGATAGATGCTGCTTCTAGGGATAAACACAGACAAGAGCGAGAAATTTTAGTAACAGTTGTTCATTCTCTAGCACAAAGTCATTCCTGATCTGATTACAGCATAAGCAATTTGAAGGCACGCTTGTATGTGCCGTAACATAGTGCACATGTGCAACAGGCAACCAGTGTCAAAAGACGGGTAGATATATTATTGATCGACAGTACCATGTCCCTGAGGTTCCAAACTGTTAAAAGCAGGTAACCACATTGAGCTAGCAGAGCTCTAGAGTTCACATACAGGGTATAAACAGGCAAAGTCTGAAAACCTGGTGTCTTCCAAGAGTGCCCTGTTTATATAATCCTTGTCAGCAGGACTTGGACATAACATTAAATAGTCCCCAGAGGACAAGAGGACGGTGGTCTTAGAGAGCTGCATTTAGTAAAATCAAAATGTATTAGTAATTTGTCTTAAAGATCCAAAATCCTCCACGCTGTTACAGTTACCGATGTTACCAACAACGGAACAATTCCATCCTCCAATTTTTTGTTAAAGTCTTTCAGACAAGAACAACTTCAAAGAGAAAAAAATAATCTGATCTTGCTCTTTAAAGCATCATCCTATAATACAGGAGACAAGACTGCATTTCATTCGTGCTGCTGCACTGTTACCCCTGTCATATTCCAGTACCCAAACCTGAGGGCAAGCTCTTGCTTTGAAGAGCTGGTTGGGGAGTCATTCCAAAAGCATCTGGTATTTTTGGTTCCACCGTTTAGCAACCAGGCTTCAAGTCAGGGTAAGGCAATCTGCATTTAGGAATAACATGAAAGAGGAAGAACCTCAGGGATTAGTTAAGATCTGGATAAAGGTTTCTCTTGGTGGAGAAAGTTTGAGACTTTTCTTACTCTTAAATCTATGACAGTAGACTGAAGCCTTCAGTATTAGAGCCCACTGGGAATACCAGTCTTCAAATCTGGCTCTCGGTAACAGCCAGCAAGGCTGGCATTAGGAACAAGATTTCTGAAAGTACACAGAAACTACAGAAAGTCAAAGATCCAGGTCAGAAGCAGTTGCAAAACAGTGGAAAGTCCAAGTCTGCAAATTAGAATTTCAGGAACAAACCAAAAAAGCTCACTGCTTCACAGGCATTGCTCAAGCTTCTGCTTATTTTTCTCCCTCCACCTACTTTGGTTTATCATACTGACTGAAGCTAGGGTCAGGACTTCCAGCTACAGAATGGAACTTCATTCAAACATCCCCAACCATCTTCTAAGGGCAGAAAATTCAATGGCACAATTATTCTTGAGGACAGTAGAGATCATTCTTTTAATAGCAGCCCACACTGACAGTGGTCAGTAGATTTGTGGCCAGAAGGTCAGCTTCTCTCAAATTCAAATTGTGTCAGAACTACTGGAGGGCTTTGGACCAAACTGATCTCTTTGCTCATCAGGAACAGCTGGATATGTTCCCATTTCTTCTTTCAAGCCTTTGAATTAGAGTTGTTAAAATACAACATTAAACCAGATGATACAATTCACACAGGCATTACAAACATTTACTATATTTTTAAAATGGAAAACATGTTCCATTCAATTCAAACACATCAATTTTTGCCTTGGTAGAATTCAAAAATAAAGAAGGAAACTCTACACATAAAAGTCAACAATGTAAGGCAAGAAATGATAGAAAATAAAAACCAGTAGAAGTTTAAAGAAAAGAAAAATTAGGAAAGCCAAGGTCCTTGTCCAAAAAGCTGTGAGAAAACCCTCCAATTCAGGACAATGTTGAAAGTGGTGGCATGATGCAGACTTCAGCCAGATGTGCTATAGAATCACAGAATAGTTAGGGTTGAAAAGGACCTTAAGATCATCCAGTTCCAACCCTCCTGCCATGGGCAGGGACACCTCGCACTAAACCATGTCACCCAAGGCTTTGTCCGACCTGGCCTTGAACACTGCCAGGGATGGAGCATTCACAGCTTCCCTGGGCAACCCATTCCAGTGCCTCACCACCCTCACAGTAAAGAACTTCTTCCTTAGATCCAACCTAAACTTCCCCTGTTTACGTTTTAACCCGTTACCCCTTGTCCTGTCACTACGATCCCTTAATGAAGAGTCCCTCCCCAGCATCCCTAGAGGCTCCTCTCTGCCAGATGTGGGAGATACACATCTACCATTTTTCTTAAGCTTTAACATCACGGGCCTTTCTCTGCATTTCTGAGAATTTTTACACTTTCCTAAACTGAAGCTTTTAGGTACTAGCATGTCAGATAACCAAAAGGTGGAAACCCTTATTTCCCACACTAAATCAAACTGACTTTGGCTGTTCTATTTAGTAAAGCACAAAGCTCAAGTTAAGCTTTGCGCATTGGGTCTGGCTGAGATGGAGTTAACTTTCCCCACAGCAGCCCTCCTAATGCTGTGTTGTGTAGCTAGCAAGGTGTTGATAACACACCACTGTTTTGGCTACTGCTGAGCACTGCTCCACAGCATCAGGCCTGTCTCTGCAACATTCCCTCCGCCCCAGTAGGCTGGGGGTGAATAAGATCCTGGGAGAGGACACTGCCAGAACAGCTGACACAGACTGACTACAGGGATACTCCAGATCATATGATATCTGCTCAGCAATAAAAGCTAAGAGAAAGAAGGAGGAGGAGGGGCATTTGTTATTACAATGTTTGTCTACTGGAACAACCACTACATGTACTGAAGCCCAGCTTCCTAAGAAATGGCTGGCCGTCACCTGCTGATGGGAAGCAGAGAATAAATCTTTGCCTTTGCTTCTGCTCATGCCCTTTGCTTTTGCTTTATTAAACCACCTTTATTTTGACCCTCATCTTAATTTTCCATCTTATCTTCTCCCCTGACCCCATAGTGATACAGCTTAATAGGCACCTGATGACCAGCCAAAGTCAACCCACCACAAGTACCACAATAACATAGAACCACAAATTCAGATTAGTTCAAGCATGGGAAGAACAAGTTTGCTTTGCTTAGAAGAAGATATAATCATTAAGATATACTCTTCAGTCTACTCAGGTGCTCATTACTTATTTGACTGTCACTTCATAGCTCATCAGAACATTGTTAGGCACTAAAGTATAACACAATATAAACAAAACAGTTGAAGTATTTTCTAAATAGACTACAAACTTTAGTCAAAATTAGTCTAATTAAAAAGGTCTTAATATACAGATACAGAAGTCATACAAGAAACATGATAGCTCTTAACACTTGTCTCCGTAAACCAAGTTTACTGGATCAACTTGTCTCACCGGTTTTTTAGCATTTTACTACAGAACTACATTAACTGATTGATATCAGAACAAAAACAACTTTCAAAGTATCATTTTATTATGTTCAAAATGTGAATTAGGTTAACTGCTACTCAGGAGCTACTTAAACTATAATGTGGTAAATTACACTGTAAGGATTATCAGATTTCATAGAGACCTAGTCCAGGTGGTATGATGAGCAGGTACACATCTCAGCACTAAGCAGCAGGTTGTTTGGCAGACATTCCTCAGCCAAAACAACTGCAATAATCTTTACTTTGAAGCAAGTGTGCTTTGGAGGAAAAGTTTAAAACATGTTTGATTCCCACAGAGTGATAATCCTACAACTGCCTATTTTGTTCAGAGACCTGCAGGAAATACCTTCTTGACAAATGAAGTTGGTTGACCTTTCCTTTCCAGAAACCACACTGAAATAAATGTCACAAGAGAAAATGTCAGATGTGAAAAGAATAAACCAATTTTTTGCTTAACACCAACTGGTAGGAATATAAACTCCATTTTCTAGTTAATAAAGGAGTAACTTTATGGCAGTAACTTTAACAAATAAAGTACCTGCCATAACAAATTATTTATATTTATTATCTTCAGGTGAATAAAACACAGATGCAATCTCTCTCTAAAACATGCTGTCCCTAATCGCAGACACTGATTTAAAATCAAAGTCACGCAGATCATAAAACAACCATGTCACAGAATGTTTTTGACAGTTTACTTCACAAGAATAAAGAATGGCATTCTAATAATGTCTTCTTTTGAAGACAGACATAGGGAGAAATAGTAGTTTAACTTTAGGCCAGTCTATTAATAACGATCCATCCATTCCTTACAATTTACAGTTTCTTAAATATTAAAACCAAATAAGCCATAGCTGTAGCCAATCCTATGAAGCTTTTCACATAAAAAAGGCTTCTTTAGATTCCGTACATTGGCAAAACCTACATTCTTACTTGAAAAAGAGCATCACTGTCATAATGAGATTTGGTTTACTGAACAGAGAAAATAAATGGAAGAAAAGAAGTTCCAATCAAAGCTACTATTCAAATCAAAGCAAGGATTTGAAATAAAGGGAAAGAATACAGTGGTTATTGCTCTGCCTCCACCAGCCCTACTGTGAAATTTTCATATCCTTTTAAAGATGTATCCGGCACTCTGTAAAAGAAAAACACACAAATACACCCCAGAAAAAAGTACTCACACTGTTTGGGTGTTGAATGGCAACTTCGTGCTGCAGCCTAACCCGCTGTGGCATCATCACATCATCCTGGAATAAATAGCACACTGTTACTGAACAGTGAAAAGGGTCACAGTACAGTGTTCAGACACATTGGAATATGGTGCTAAATTAACATCATTTTACTGGCTTGCATTCAGAACTAGAGATGGAACAAATATTAAGAGATTTTACACTTTCAGCATATTAAACTCAGTGCTCTTCAAATTGGAAGTCATCAAAACTACTACATGACAACTGTGTTCTGATTTCAACATGTATCCTATGGGCACCCACATACTGTACATATCTAAAGAAACTCACCAATACTTTAAGAACTCTGATCACCAAACTGGCACTGTGTGTGGACAAGGAACTAATCTGGCTTCAAAGCATGAGATTTATAACATTCAAGCAATAGGAATTGCTTTGAATGAGGAAGTGTTCTCAATGTACCTTGTTTCATTGATAAGGAAAAGCCTCAGTCTCTAGTACTGATATGCCACATTTCATGAGCACAAGAATAGTATCTGTGACATGATACAATTCTAAGGCAAAATAAAAAGGAAAAAAAAAAAAGAACACACACTCATAAAATGCGTAAGCATTGACCCTAGCTTTAAAAAATACCACCTGGATTTCAATTTGATGTTAATACTTCTTTCACCTGTAGCATAAAGGTCTATTTTGTTTACTTATGAAAAAGTTAGGTTGCTTGTAAAGAGTTTGTAACCTCGTATCCTTCCTTCAACAGACAGGAGGAGATACTCCTTTCAAAATACTATTTCCTGTTCATGATCATATCCCTTTTAGACCACAGTTTTACAGTCTATTAAAATGCCTGACTGTAGCACAGGTTTTCTTCCCTAAATTTAGTCTCCTGAGGTTTCCACATGTATTCTTTTCCATTTTGGTGCCGTATTTCTTCCCTTTTGAAGGATCAGTTCAGTCTTTCTCAGGTGCTGGTTAAAACTAACACAACTTTTCTTCTCAGAGTATTTTCAGATGATCCTCACATTAAAAATCATTCTAAGGAGATTCCTACTAAAGCCAAAACCACTAAATATTGATCTTCCAACAACTTCCACATTAAAACTTTCCAGGAAATCAATGGCAACAAAAATATATTTGTGCTTAAATATCTGAAGCTTAGAAGATTGAATGACCTTGATATAAAGGTGACACTTGAGTTATATCAAAAACAAAACACGATGAAAAAAAGTATGAGAAGTAGATAAAAAATTCCAGGTAAATGATAAAAATAATTAATAATAAATTGACCCTTATCACATGCAACTTTATAAAAGGAATACATTGTCAAAAGGATTATTTCTCTCTATTTTGTATTTAGGATATATTTGGTCATGTGCATGAGAGATGTTACTGATTTTGAAGGCCAGAAGAGTGAAAAAAACCCTTCTGATTTCTCAACCTCTGTACATCAATTATTTAAATCAGACAATATTTACCATCTAATGCACTTTAGCAATAAGGCAGCAGAATTCAGGTACTGTATCAAGCAAATATTCCAAGAAAATATTTACCCTATTTCGCATGAGAACCATAATCCGATTTCTCATTCCAAATACAGAACTGGTTTTTGTAAATTAAAACCTGGTTTAAGATCATATACGCAATAGGAGATATATCTGAACTGAGCTTTGTTCACTCCTTTACTAATTACTTAGGATTCTTAGATGTCTTCTTGTTAAATTCCCCCAAAATGAGAATGCAAAAGCAATCCATCAAAAAGGAAGGAATTTCAATGCTTAGAACAACGTTACTATTATCTCTTACAATATACAACATATGCTCTTGTACTAAAAGATTCCTCAGTTTATGATGCTGCACAACAGAGATAACTTTAACAGAACGCAGACATTCACAAGGATGAAGAATAATCTACTTCATTTAAAAAGGTTAAAACAGCATGGAAAGTATTCAAACCAAACTCAAATCTCCTATTCACCAAACTGGTCAGTGTTATGTTTTCATAAGCAGACAACTTGACAGGAAAGGTCTAGTTCCTCCTAACAAAACACTGTGTCATTTTGATGCTGTTGGCAAAACTAACACGTCTACAGATTTGGGGCTTAGGCTATCACCAAGATCATCAGTACTCTGTAAAATCCAGCCAAAGAGGGGGCATTATGACCACAAAAACTCCAAAATGCCTTTTTTGTATTAATACATCTTTGTTCTCTAATGCTGAAAAACTCTATGAACTCTTACCCTGAATGACCTCTCAAAAGAATTTTGCCTTCTTTCTATTAGCAGTTTTACACATATGATGCCCTGCTGTATAGTTCTGTGATACTTTCCAGGGTCATGGGAGAAAGAAAGGAGGGAGGGGGGGAAAGAACATAGTAATTTAAGACATAATCCCAAATAAAACAACAAAGCAGTTAGGTGATGAGGAAGAACAGCACAAAATACACATCACATCCCAGACAAAACTGAGTCACATCAGCCACTTGGATTTTTAGACTGAGGCTGGGCAACTATAAAAGAAAGGTAACTGCAAAATCCAGATTCAGCACTCCACAGGTCCCTTCCCATCCAAATCACTCTGTGAGTGATGACTGGGCAGGGAGCCAGGAAGTGGAAAACAGCAATATTTATACAGAGACAATCTGAAGCAATGTGGCTGTATTCTAGACCAGTGTTTAAGAAACCAAATTCAATTCTAATGAATAAAACCAAAATGATTGTGCCATGAAATAAGAGCATTTCAAAAAATGTTTCAACTTTATAAGCCATTGGTAGGCGTGAGATGCCCAACCATGACCTGCACTGGGAAATGTTTATGGAGTTTAAGCAACCGTAGTATTAGACAACTGTTAAAATACTTTGTCCAGCTGCACATTAGGTAATCATGAATGTTCTACCAAAACTGTTGTATTTATGATATTGAACTCAGCAACTGTATTGGTTTCTGCACTAAACAGACTTTGGTCATCTTTTTTGGTTTAAAACCAAGAGCAAACCTTAGTAACAAGACAAACACTTTCCAAATTAGTTTTCACTTATGTCATGTCAGACAAAAAGAAAGTAGGTATCTGAATGTAGCTGCTGTATCTAAAAGGAAAGTATATTCAGTTTGTTTCTGTCTCCTATGTGTAAGCAGGGAAGACAACAAGGCTAGCAGTGAATTACACTGAATATATACTTTTGAGACACAGAAGTTTCCACTGGAATTCAGTTTTCTCTTTTAACATGAAGTCTCTAATGGTTGTCTCCTAGCAGATACAAGGCAGACAGGATGAAGAGAGATCCCCTCCCGACTGAAAGAATATACAAAAGAGCAGATTTAAAATAAACCCCAGGTAAATGCATGCCTTCACTAAGCATATACTTCAATAATATAGCTAAATAAGAGTAAGTAAATCCATTTTCTTGTGTCCCCACTCACCAAACTTAGTAGAAAAATGAAGAAAATCTCAGGTAATAGCTGGGTTTACTGTCATCTAGATATGTATAGACATCCATACAGTGCAAACGAGGCCAAACAGGTAACCAGCAAGAAATAAAGGAACATAAATAGAAACCTATTTTAAGCACTTAAAATAACCCAGAATTTGTAGGAATTTTGTTGATTACAAACATGTTTCCTGTTCTCCAGTGTCCATTCTGAATAGGAAAAAAATGTGCTGAAAGATGGGAGAATAAAAAGGACTTTATTTCACATGAAAAGCCAGCAGGGATTTCTAAACAAGCCCAGATGTGTTTCTGCCAGTGGGGGGCCGTGATCTCCATCACCTTTCAGTCTGACAGGCATTCTGCCTGCTTGGGCTCCTACCAGATATATCCCTTCTGGAGAAAGCTGGCTTGCTCCTGTCAAGTTCCTCACCACTTACAGATGCTGCCAAATCAAAAAGCTAGTTACACAACTATCAGCTGGGTTGTCTTCCTTCCAAGTAGAGGCACCATTCTTTATAAAAACACAGTTTATACTGAGCTAATTGTTTTGTTTCACTTTACTCATCTGTATAGTAGAAGAAAAAGAAAATTAAAGCAACAGACTGAGCTTAAGAATATTATTCAAAGCTGGTGCTATTTCAGGATGTGTTTCTCAAATCAATTTGTGTAAATCCAAATGACAGGAATTCACTGGCTTCTTCAACCAGGTCGCCTGGACCACACTGAACTCCACAGTAACAACTTCATGATTTCCCCTTAAAAGTGGGGGGGTTTGCACATCAGAAAGTAAAATAAAACATACAACTCAAAGTATACATCTACTTTTTAAAACCAAAGACAAGTTAATATAAAACAACACACTAATTATAGCTCAGTACTGAAGTGCTTTCTTAAGCTCACATTACAGACTCTGCACCACATGCTTTCCAAGCTTTCCAAATTCCTTCGTATTTGGCTGTTCAAAAAACCCACACACGCACACAAAGAGAGCTGACAAACTCCATCCCCACAATAGCAGCACCGTTTTTCCACTGCAGATATTATACATAAAATACAACCTGTACCAACGCCAGAAGGCATGTTTGACTTGCTGAGAAACAATAATGGCATCTCCAAAGTGTTTCAATCCATCAAATGGTCATTCATTTACCCTGCACCTGCTTAGACTATAGGGAAAATCTTTCCATTCTATTGTTCAGTTCAACTCCTTGAACTAGGGAGGAAAAGGCCTCGGACCTCCAAGAACTGACCCATCAACAGCCCCACCAAAGTAAATACACTGATACTATGCACTTTTCTAGAAGGCAGGTTTTTAAAGAAGCCCCCCACTATTGAACACATTCAAATTGTGCACTCTAATGGCCACACACAAGACACCTGAGCAGAACACATTCTGCTGTTAGTACTTGCAAGACCATAGGAAAAACTATGATTTTTCTGTTTCTGCTTCTGGATTAAATTGAGAAAGAAGAGGACAACAAAGAAATCACTTCTAAGTTTAAGAAACTGATTTCTTACCCTGACCATGGCAACAAAAAGTCTACAGGGGAGGTACATACACGGTGTTTTTATTCTCATGAACACATAGCACCTTCCATCAACAGAAACCTTAGAAATAAAGAATACTTCAAGTTTATTAGTGCCTGTAGAGTAATGTGTAATGGCAACCAACAATAAATCCTTCCAAAACCAGCAAGTTACAGACACTGTAAAAACAAGCAGCTGTGTTTATAACTGAAAGCTAGCTTGAAGGCTGGAGCCCCTGCAACATCTACCAAGTCTGGCGAGCCAAGGTCCAACCACCTTAATGAATACCCCTCAATGAAGGAGTTTTGAACTTGAAACTCAAGAAAAGCATGCAATTTCACAGCAATTTAGAATTAACATTCCCAGCTTAAATCATACAAGCAAATCTCCCAAACGGAAAGGCACAGGTCAGCAGCTGCTAATTCAAATATGGGAATACCGATTCTGGTGGTCCCCCCTCGCTTCTGAGGAATAAACCTTCACTGTTTCCCTCTGCCATTTCCAACTATTAGCAAGCAGTGACACTGTGGCAACATGGTGTAGAGTCACATCTTTGAACTGGCTCAGAACCTCAGAAGCAGCGATAGTCTGCCAACAGAGCCTTTCAAAAGGCTAAAAGTGTGTCAAAGACTCAAGGGACTATGACTGGGTTTGAAATATTGCAGGTCAAAAAAGGACACATTTTGATATTTCTTCTTCACCAGGCAGGAGCCCTCCAACAACACATTCATTATACCTGAAATAATGGGAAACTATACAGCTTACTAGGGTGAAATGAAAGCATGTTCCTTTTTAATTGAAATACAGTTTTATGCGAGTATGGGCATGTTTAAGTGAATGTCAACAAAAATAGCAGTTAAAGCAGAAAAATTAATTTTTGCTGTGCTACAGTTGGGTAAGTTACTATAACAAAGCTTCTAACAACCCCAGATAACTGAAAAACTAAGGTTACAACACAACGCATCTGGTAGTTACAGTCATAACCCCAGAGAACTTGAAGAGCAAAGCTAACAGTGAAATGTATTTGCATAATTCATTTATCCTATTGTTGCATGACCAGGATTTTCTGAGACTATAAATGTTAAACATGAACAATTTGTTAAGTATCTTCAATTTCCCAACTTGTTTTCCCCTGTGGGAAAAATGCCTCAATAGCTTAGAGGTGAAATCTGTAAGAACAACCACAGCAAAACCCCCTCCACAATAGCTATTAGTCAAACAGCTGCCACTTCATTCTAGAATAGGCTGATCAAATTCTGACAGTTCTGAGCTCTGTAACCTTTTTTTCCACATTTCTTCTCAATTTGTTGTCCTCACAAATCTGTGTTGAGAGACATAACACAAGCAGCTTGCCTCCAGCTGGAATGGCAAGCAAAACGGTCTCTCTGGAGCCAGTACTTTCAAAGATGCTCCCAAATATGCTCCTACATTCATTTCACCCAAAGGAATGTACAAGGAGCCTCACTGTGTTTCTCCACCTATATGAAACGTACACAAACTACTGACCCAGCCCCATTTCACTCCAATTCAACCTATAGCAAACCTGAAATTACAGCTGCACTTCTGAAGGTCAATTCCCTGGCATTACTGCAGCACATTCCAAAAGGCTGATATCAACATTCCTTCCTAGAGAGCTTGAGACTGGATTGGTGACTGAAATGAAGGTAGGTGGCGTGTAGAAGTGGAGTTGTTAAACAGCTGGCAACATCTGTGTTTCAGCTATTATCACACAACAGTTACTAACTACGGCCAAAATATTGAGCAATTTTTAGACTTGTAGCAGTTTCCACATTCATTTTATTTCCTCTGATGTTTTCAGCAAAAAGCAGTAGTCACAAGGAAAAACAGCAGAAAATAGGTTTAAGTAACAGCGATCACTTGATACTGCTTTTGTATCCAAGATTAGGCTTCTAATAGTTCAGAATGCCTTCTACTTTGAAGCATCTTGCTCAATAGCAAGAATAGAAATGGGTAGAACAGAAAATCTTAGTACCTTTTTCCAAGCTTATCCACACCATAACTCATAAAATTCTCAAATCCCTTTGAGTATGTCTTGATTATATTAAATATAAATGCTAATGAGAATATTGCAGAAATCCAGAGTCATCACTTTTACATTCCTTAAGAGTTCTAATTTGTTTCCCTAATGTTTCCTTATCTTGCACAGCCAGCAAACAATACAGAAGCATGAAGATGCATACTGTATAAACACTCTAAGGTGTTTATGGTATTATGCATACCATAAGTATGCATAATAACAAATGAAGAAATCTGTAGGGAACTCTACAAAAATGTCATTTACACAATTTAATATTCTAGTTTCACAGAATCATATAATGGTTTGGGATGGAAAAGACCTTATGATTATTCAAGTTCCAACCCCCTACCATAGGCAGGGACGCCTTGCCTTAAACCAGGTCGCCCAAGGCTCTGTCCTACGTGGCCTTGAACACTGCCAGGGATGGAGCATTTTCCACTTCCTTGGGCAGGCTGTTCCAGTGCCTCACACCCTCACAGTAAAGAGCTTCCTTTTATCTAACCTGAACTTCCCCTGTTTAACTTCAAACCCGTCACCTCTTGTCCTGTCACTACGTATCACCAGTTTACTGCTTGTGATTTACAGACAAGTACATCTGCCAGGATTGAAAAGACTAATCCAAAATTCACCTCAGTAAATTACAGATTTGAGATAGAAGATATAAAGCTCCATGGGACAAGAGAATAGTAGGTTAATGCCTCTCTCATACACGGCCTCAGTCAGCAATGAAGTACAGCAAAAAGAACTGGATCTCATGTTCATTAATCTCAACAAAACTGGGATCACTCCAGTTACTTCATGGCATAATTTCTAACGCCCTCCACTCTTTCAAAATCTGCTGAGTCAAGTGATCAGAAACAGAGCAGCACATTTTCTCTTCATACTTCCTCAAAATAATTTGTTTATGAAGCAGACACTGATGCTCAGTGCTGGGTATGAAATACAGTTTTTTGTATGTATGTATGAGGAACTGGCCTTTTCATACACCATTAATTTGCATATGCCCTGTGAGCCCTGTGTATTCAATATATACTCACGTGCATTTCAAAGCTTCACCCTCCATGAACTTACACATAAAGATTTGCATGAAATACACTCTGCAAAATAAAACACCTCAAACCAACAAACTGGTAAAGGGAAGCCATGATAAATTCAAATAAACTCATTTTAAAAGGCACACTGTGTTGCTAAATACGGTGATAAATTAATAAAAGCAAGAATAAAGGCCAGCAAAGCCACCTGTAAAACTTAATTTCTTAAATGATAAGACAAGAAATTTCTGCTGCATTGCCTTGGGTCAGAAGAAATATACCAGCACTTAACCATGTCTTGCAACAGTACACTGATTAATTCAGAAGACTTTAAACACACAACAAAAAACATCCTTCTATCTAGCTGACACAACAAATGGAGTTGCAAACCGAAAGACTACCCAAATTAAAACCTGTGCGGTTTTAAGGCTCTTAAGTTTACATCCCTGCTCTCACGAGGCTTTCTACTAAGCACAATCGTTAACATTAAGTTGACTCCTACCTGAAAAGCTACACTTTCAGCAGCCAGTTCATCCTAGTACCACACTAAACCATAGTTCAGTTCCAATTCAGAGGGAAGAATCAAACTTCAGGTGAAATTACACGAGATCAAGTGAGCCTTTAAGGTCCTGCTCCTCCTGCCTGATCCCAGCCGCATGGCACCATTCCTCAGATCAGCTATGCAGTTGTGAAACCCTTCACTGCATATTAGGCTGCAGAAAGTCAGATAGTTATCTGTGGGTTAGTGAGATGAAGGGGTTCACAGAAGGTATCCAACAAAGGAAAAAAAATTCCAAGATGGAAGCTGAGATTTCTTCATATTTTGCATCCAAAAACCAGTAGATCAGCTCTTAGTTGCTCATCAGTATGTTTTTTTTAAAGAATGTGGGAAAGAAAAGTTCTGAAAACACCTAAATACCAACCCTGCTCACAACAGCTTGTGAAATCCAACAGGATCAAGGAACAGTGTGAGCTGGTAGGCTTGCTACAGGTTGGAAGACAACTTTACAGCTATAAATGGTAACCAATGTGTTTAACACCCCAACATCTTTCAACAGCTTATCTTTAAGGCAAACCAACAATTACATTAAAACAAAGGAATTTTATTGACAAAACTAAGTTAGGCAAAATGTATTCACTTACTGAATCCAGAAAGCAGAGATAGGTTCCTGAGCTCTGAATTACTGCTTGATTTTTAGCAAACCCAACTGTTGAGAAAACAGAGATAAAATTATGTGGCAGTTTTTACTGTTGTATTTTTTTAAATCTTACTACCATCAGGAACAGATGAAAGGAAATACAAAAATCAGGATCAGGGAAAGTACACATTTTTTCCATACTTAAAGCAAGGTCATTTGTAAATAGTTAATCAGTGTGCCTATATCAGTCATCTTCTCTGAGTGATTATCAGTTCCATGTGTTATAATCTACCACCGCATAAACTTAGGCTACTTTTGCTAGTACTAGAACAATATAATCTGCAATATGTATCTTGAAGAGTCAGCTACCTCGGTTTCACGTCCAGTACCTCAGATTATAGAGACACAGAACGGCTTGGGTGGGAAGAGACCCCTAAAGGTCACCTAGAGCAACCCCCTGCAATGAGCAGATGCTGAAAACCCCTGGCTGTATATACATTCGTCTTTTCAGTCCTAACAAATAATAACAAACCTTAAGAAGGAAAAGAAAGAATAAGAGCTTGCTAAACAACCAGTTCTACCCATCAGGGAAGTTCTGGTCTGTTCCACTATGCTCGTTAAATATAAAGTATGTAAATGCAAAAAACTTCCTGTGCCATTAGTGTAATGGCACAGGTAATACAGAGGAGAACCAAAGTAGAACACATAACCAATGAGCACAAACCTGGCTTATTTAATACCACATATTATACCATCTACCAAAGACACTGAAATACAGATTCAGACAAATGACAACACTGGCATCCAGGGTCTTTTTGTTTCTGACCCCCTGACACTTGCTGAATCTTTTACCAAGGCACTCAGGAAGTTGAACTGAAAGAGAACTTTTTGTCAGCTTCATTTCTGAAGCAGATGACAGCATTGGCAGGGCAAATTAATGGCAAGGCAGAAAAAAAAAAGGAGGGGGGGCAGAGCATCAATACACAGCCAAGGGTAAGGATGGGACTGCAGCAACCAGCAACAAGATGTATTTCAGTGGTAAGCTGAGCTCATCTGCAAGGTTGTTTTATCTGGGAATATTTTTGCATGTAGACAAAGTTTACCCAAGAACATGATGGTCTTCGAATTTTTCTCCCAGGCAGCATTATCAGAAAAGACCACATATATCCAGAGTTATTCTAAAAAGTGCTATATGAATTCCACTTGGTCATAATATGTAACATTTAGGCGTCATTTAACGTATTTATGGAACCCAGTTAAGGGAATACAGCAAAAGACTGCCCTGATATGCAAACCAAATGAGGTGAAAATATGCAATACTGTAGGGGTTTTATTCCTTAATGGAAAAACTGTGTTTGTAAAACCAGAAAATCTCACCATGAAGTGAAGCAGGATAATTTTAAATAATATTGTCCCTAAAGTTCCTGCTTTTTCATTTGAAAAAAGCAGAATTCTGTAATTCTCCACTCTTTTTATGTGATACAGGTTTAAGTTTACTCAGGACACAAATTTAAGCGGGCTCAAAGGTTCACTTAGTTTTAATGCACATGCTCCTTGGCTATTTTGCTGAGTTGTCCAAGTACAGAAAAAGCCTTATGATTGCATTTCTTACTGCCTCAAAGGAACATTATGTCAACTACCAACAGAACACTACAAATGAAGGCTCCTCCTCATAACTGCACTATTCTTTTCGTACCTATTTTGAGTATTTTAATCCTTACCTTAACTTTTTATAATCATGGGTTTCTCAGGCTTACTATCTTACAGTATATTACCTTTTTAGACACATATGAATATCTAATCTCACATATACAGTTACTCTCATTCTCCTTCCTATTGGCAGTAAAAAAGCAGCTGGCAAAGTCAGTAGCTACCACAACAGCAGAGCTGAAACCTGGCATGAGCAGTTTTAGTGGGAAACAACTGACGAAAGTTAGCAGGTCTGGACACGCCAAACAAGCAAAACCCCAACACTATGGAGGTCCCTACAAAAGCAAGAGGTAGAAGAACAAAACTAAATCTGCCCAACATCAATGAAATCACTACTCTCACACATCATTACCAGCTGTAAAGCAGCCTGTACTTGTATTTCAATGCTGTCATTAGTATACCCTGATATTTCAACAACCTTCAGCAGAAAATAATGAAGAACTAGGAATCAGCAAGAAAAAAGAGAAGACAGCTAAAGGCAACTGCAAGATGACAATTATATTACTCAATGAATGTTCTGAAATATTTAAGATCTCTTTTTAAAATAAACCACTTTACATAAAATACTGAAATCTTTATGATTTGTTATGAGAAAAAGTTGGAACATATTTCTTTCTAACATTAAAACAGAAATCATCCTGAAGCTTTTACTCTACCAGCCATTTTTTTAAGAGGGAGAGAAGAAAACACACATATCTAAAAAGTTATTAGTAAGGGAGATGTAACTCCCCATGGAAGAAACTAGATACTAAAACTGGTTTCAGCACAACAAATCCTATGCTTGGCACGAAGAAAAAAATTTCTTTCATATTACTTTGCTGAACAAAATGCAACGTTTGTGCCAGGTCTCTGAGTTTTGTAAGGCCTGCTTACTTGGTGAAAAGAGCCTGTTACCATGGTTACAGCCGTAAAAACTTAAGCCTCAGTGAGATATTAACATTCCTCAGTCTTGGAAAGAAAAAGGTTTCCTTTTTTTAGGCAAGTGACCCTTTCTTTTTTTCTAGGTTCCCCCCCTTTCTTTTACATGCTAGAAAAGAATCAGAAATAAATCCTAATCTTGTGTAAATAGTTGAAGATGTGAAGCCTGACTACTACATTGTTTCTGTACTAAAGCATCTTCTTTTAAAGGAAAGACTCCTTACAGTTGTAACTAGTCCTTAACATAATAAAAGTAAATCACTGAAAGCAAACAAATACTATGGATTTCAAGTAACCTGCTCCTAAGATGTAACAACCGTGAAGAAAAGATGTCCTCATTTTAATGGTGACCTGAGAGTGACTTCCACATGAATAAGCTTGGGTTTGTTTTTTTTAAAAGAACTCTGCATTTCATACTATTATTTAAAACAATGCTCACAGCTGCATCCCCCACCCCCAATTTATTAAACATTTGTTCAGGTTTCAGCTATCACAACACTAACAAATGCAAGTCAAAACCAAAAATAACCTGACACATCACTAATGGCACAATATAATCCCTGTAGTTCACAATTCAGTTTTAGGTTCAGCTTCCTAAAGTGCAAAGGTGAACTGACTTCAGAATTCTAGCATGAATTACTGCCAAAATGTTGTACTTATGTGTTCTTGCAAACTAAAACCCAGTTTACACATAATTGCATTCTACCTAGCTTCTAGATCATCAACTACTAAGAGAAGTATGATATGAAAAGAGACTGACAATCCCATAGTTGGGGAGGGGGGTGCAAGAAGATAGATGAATTTCCAGAAATACAAGGAATTCTTTACATTGCTAAAATCCAGCTTGGCTAGGGATATTAAGGATATCAGGAAGGGATTCTACAGGTACATAGCAAATAAAGAAAAGACTAGGGACAACATAGGCCCCCTCAGGAAGCTCTCAGGAGAACTAGCTACACAGGATTTGGAGAAGGCTGAGGTTCTGAATGACTTCTTTGCCTCGGTCTTCACTGGCAAAGGCTCTGACCACAACACCCAAGTATTGGAAGGCAGACACAGGGACTGTGAGAATGAAGACCTTGGGCCCACTGTAGGAGAGGATCTGATTTGAGACCATCTTAAAAATCTGAACGTGCACAAGTCCATGGGACCTGATGAAATCCATCCGCGGGTCATGAAGGAGCTGGCGAATGAAGTTGCTAAGCTGCTGGTCATCATATTTGAGAAGTCATAGCAGTCAGGTTAAGTTCCTGATGACTGGGAAAAGCGGAATATAACCCCCATTTTCAAGAAGGGCAAAATGGATGACCCAGGGAATTACAGACCAGTCAGTCTCACCTCTGTGCCTGGCAAAATCTTGGAGCAGATTCTCCTGGAAGGCATGCTAAGGCACACGAAAAACAAGGTGCTTGGTGACAGCCAGCATGGCTTCATTAAGGGGAAATCCTGCATGACCAATTTGGTGGCCTTCTATGATGGGGCTACAGAACTGATGGACAGGGGTAGAGCAGTTGATGTCATCTACTTGGATTTGTGTAAAGCGTTCAACAATGTACAACACAACAGCCTTGTCTCTAAATTGGAGAGACATCAATTTGATGAATGGACATCTCGGTGGATAAAGAACTGGCTGGATGGCCGCACACGAAGAGTTGTGGTCAATGGCTCAATGTCCAGCTGGAGACCAGTAACAAGTGGTGTCCTCAGGGATCAGTGTTGGGACCAGTCTTGTTTAACATCTTTGCTGCTGACAGGGACAGTGGGATTGAGTGCGCCCTCAGCAAGTTTGCCGATGACACCAAGCTGTGTGGTTCGGTTGATACGCTGGAGGGAAGGAATGCCATTCAGAGGGACCTTGACACGCTTGTGAGGTGGGCTGATGCCAACCTCATGAAGTTTAACCATGCAAGTTCAAGGTCCTACACCTGGGTCGGAGCAATCCCAGGCTCAGCTACAGGCTGGGCAGAGAAGAGATTCAGAGCAGCCCTGCGGAGAAGGACTTGGGGGTGCTGGTCGATGAGAAAATGAACATGAGCTGGCAGTGTGCGCTTGCAGCCCAGAAAGCCAACCGTATCCTGGGCTGCATCAAAAGGAGCGCGACCAGCAGGTCCAAGAAGGTGATCCTACCCCTTTATTCTGCTCTCATAAGACCTCACCTGGAGTACTGTGTGCAGTTCTGGTGTCCTCAACATAAAAAGGACATGGAACTGTTGGAATAAGTCCAGAGAAGGGCCACAAGGATGATCAGGGGACTGGAGCACCTCCCATATGAAGATCGGCTGAGAAAGTTGGGGCTGTTCAGCCTGGACAAGAGAAGGCTGCGTGAAGACCTCAGAGCAGCCTTCGAGTATCTGAAGAGGGCCTATAGGGATGCTGGGGAGGGACTCTTCATTAGGGACCATAGTGGTAGGACAAGGGGTAATGGGTTAAAACTTAAACAGGGGAAGTTTAGATTGGATATAAGGAGGAAATTCTTTACTGTAAGGTTGGTGAGGCACTGGAATGGGTTGCCCAGGGAGGCTGTGAATGCTCCATCCCTGGCAGTGTTCAAGGCCAGGCTGGATGAGGCCTTGGGTGATATGGTTTAGTGTGAGGTGTCCCTGCCCATGGGCAGGGACGTTGTAACTTGATCATCTTAAGGTCCTTTCCCACCCTAACTATTCTATGATTCTATCACTCTATCTGTTGTCCAAAAGACAAAAATTCCCTCTATGAACCTTGTCTGTCTTTTGTCATCAACAGCTCAATAATGCTAATATTGCAAGTTACACTGTCAAAATAACATCAGTTCATGCTAGAAATATTAAAATACTACAAATATTTATAGTAACAGTTATGCTGTATTAGTTCAGTATTGCTAGGTCTGACAACTGTTTAAAAAACAGCTTTAAATAAGTCTATAGTCAGAAGAAATGACAGTAATAAAAGCCAGGGGCCTGTACCAAGGTGCAGATTAATTTAGTGCACAAATTCCAATTTTTCTGCATGTTTCAACATCAGATGATAATTAACCCTTCTGAAAAAGAATTGGGCTTTCTCGTAAAAAGATCATTTTGAGCTATCTGTAATAAGCCTGGGTTTCTTTCAGTTACAAAAGGGGTATTTTGTTAAAAAAAAACCCAACAAACAGAAACTGACCAAATTTTGCATTACAGTGTTTCCAAAGTGTGCCTTTTAAGTGAAATAACTGGGAAGACACACATCTGGAACCAATTTTCTATCAATTCCTACCTGTCTACTACCACAAAAATCCAGAATGATGATATATACAACTCCTATACACAGTGTGAACACCCTGTTCTGCTTGGTTTGTCCTGCTGTCCTCCTTTGGAACACAGACCCAATCTTCCAACTTCAGTGCCATTGAACACTAGCTTCTTCAAAGAGCAGTATGTTTGATTGCTATTTTACAGTTAAGCAGGCTTGTCTGCTAAAAAAAAAATAACACAACCCAAACCTTAACATAACCAAAACAAGCAAAAGAAGAACTCTTAGAGAGACTTGTTTGTTATCTCCTCCAGGGGGTAAATGTAATTCATATTAGCATGTAAATTAACACAGAATCACATCATACACCTTTCCTGTAGCTCACTAAACATATTGGTTTAGCTCTTTGTCTAAACAGGTAGGAGTTTAGTGAGAGTTTTTAGCTCACATCAAAACTTTTCTGAAACCTTCGTTTTGACCTGATCATCAAAAGAGATAGAAAAAATGTATTTTGTTCTATTTCAGGGTCTATTCTGCATCTACTTTTAAATCCTTCTGTGAGAAATTTTAGGTTTCTTTTTTCTTAAACCCCATCTCCTGAAGACGACTCAGATCTCAGAAAGCCAAAGTAAAACTGTAAGTGTTAACACCACTGTGTATACTACAACTAAACAAAATTCTTTTGCAGAGTAGCACACGAGTGTTAAGCCAAGTTCTTCTTTGCTGGACATATAAACAAATCCTACAGAACCAAAACCAACAGGGCCAAATTCTAATTTGGAATAAGGTTATGAACAGAGAGCTCTGGAACACATTGTGAGTAGTTTTTTTAACATTGCAATGCAAGTGGCTACAAAGACACTTTGCAAACTAAAAAATACAAGATGCCTGCGATAACAAGCTGACTCTCCAGAAAAATCACTATTAAGCTACATACCGCCTCGAGGTTCAGATGAATCATTGCTACCAACAATTACTGGAACACCAGCATCTTCCAACTTCATCTTCCATTTTTCAATTATTTCAGCTGAAGCATCCTAGAAAAACGATGACACAGACTGCAGCTATTTTAAGCGTATAGTGAACCAGACACCATCCAAACCAAAGATTCCTATCAGAGACAGTATTTACTTGGGCAGTATCTTAAATAAGGTCAGAAACATACCTCACTGGCATCATTAAAAACTGACAGCTCCATGGTTTCTTTAAAATCTTGTTCCCAAACTGACTTCAAGCATTCATCTAACCAGCATTCACTATTGTGAACAGGCACGATGACAGACTACAAGGAAAGAAACAAAAAATCCAGTGTATGTCAGTAAGCACTATTTTTGTTTACTTACAGTGTAAGAATATTCATTACAAAGGGGAAGTGACCTTTCTGAAACTAATTTTCACCAAAAATGCACTTAAAAATAAAAAAGTAGGCAAAGACCCTTTCTTTTAATTCTAAATATATGATTCAAAACCCGCCCGGACATGTTCCTGTGTAAATTTATCTAGGTGTTCCTGCTCCTGCAGGGGATTGGACTAGATGATCTTTTGAGTTCCCTTCCAATCTCTAACATACTGTGATACTGTGATTGACTTTCTTCTCCATCAAGCTGTCTTATTCAGTTTTGAGTTCTGAAATGGCTGTTGGTAGATCTCCAAGGAAACAAGAGACTACTGAAGCAAAAAACACTAACAAAACATCTGTAACACCACACTAACCTATTTCTAGTATTCCTGTATTTCTTAGGACACTCTAAGCTCACTACTTAATAGGAGATGCTCATATATGCAGCCTATACCCTTGGGCTCTAACTGTGTTTTTTAAAGTGACTCTATTTAAAACTGCTATTAAGCACATTAGATGCCGTTTGCCATACTTCCATAGTCTACGATTTCAACTTCGAGCTTTCCTACTACAGCCTCTACTGGTTCAGCCACACACACGCAAAGCATGAAAACCTATCTGAAGTATTTTAAAATTGGTTAGAAACCAGAGATGAGGGATTTTTCTGTTCAGTAACTCACCACTGTTCTAATTAGCACCCCAAAAGCCAACAACTGCCCCCAAATTATTTCAGTATCTCAAAAATAAACATTCTGGCTATGTTTGTAAAGGGAAAGGCTAAACCCATACCTGCTAAGATCTCTTCTAGATGGGAAACTTAAGGCAAAGAACCCAAGTAACTTGTAAGAAGTCTCATTGGACATTTTAAGAAGATCATAGAAACAGAACTTCAACTCATCGTGTGGTGTAACCATAAACATGCAAGTTGAAGAAACAGAAGATTAGTTCCTATTGTGACTATGTGAGAAACTTAAAAAAAGCAAAATACTAGAAGAATACTGAAATTTAATTAATCAAGTTTAGTGACATGTGAGTACATGTACACTGTGCAAATACAGGCAAATCATACATGAGCAGGCAGATTTTGTGGACATTGAGGAGCATGCTTTTGTTTTTCTACAGCAGTTGAAAACTCATAAAGAAGAAACGTGAGAATATTCCATAGCAAAATTAAAACTATCATTGTTTAAAATGAATGAAAAACCTGATTTTTGGCAGGATGCTGTAGGAGGCGAAAGAGGTATTTAAAAGAAGTAGGAGGAAACCTATCTAAAATTTGAAGGAAAGCAGGTCTTTGACTTCTGTTTTGGAGAGATAAATAAGTAGAAGAAGGAGAAATAAAAATATGAAATAGATTACCAAATAATTCCAACATACAGACAAAAAAAAAATCAGAACTTTGAGACTAAAAGAAGAAGCAAAAATATGAGATTCTAAACCAATATATTCCATTGACTCTGAATTTTAATACCGTTTAGGTCTAGATGGCAATAAAAATACAACCCTATACATTTATACTAATCAATCTAACATATTCATTCAGAAAGAAAAGGGTTCTCCAAGTCTTCCAATGACCATATAAACTAGTCACAGGTTTTCACATCCAGAAAAATGAATGATTTGACAATTTGTTTTCTAATTAACTCTGTAAAATTGCAACTATTCCATCACAAATCAGCTCGATATTGTCTTGAAAACTACAAAACTGGAACTTCTTTGGTTTATTTCCCCATAATGAACTCCTGGTTTAAGTCAGGACAGCAGGGCAAAACACAATAATGTTCGGACTTCAGTTTAGTTTGAACTGAAAACAATACTTTAATGGTAGCACATGTAAAAGCACCTACAAATACCTCATGGCACTAAGGTTCTCAGAACTTAGCCTAAAAACTCGTAATAGATTAGTATGAAACATAAAATTTGCAGCTGGTACTTGTCCTGAACTAGGCATTCAGAAACTAGCCTTGATCATCAAGTGTCTGTATCAGCACACTTCAGTCTCCTTGGTTCATATAAAGAGGGGAAAGCATCAACCAGGGCACTGTTGCACTTCTGGATTTGTCTCAAAAAACCCTCAGTAAGCTGGCAGTAACCTCAAGAGACAGTCTCTACTTCTTCTGTCCCAAACCATGATCAACTAAAGCTGACCAACATCTCCAGGGACAGAAACACCAGCCTTGCAAAGGCAATCTCTAAAAGCAGGCATAAAGGAGACCTGGCATACCATTCTCCCAGTAGCTGAAGTAATTTTGCTACAGTTTATGCCAGCTATCGCTTCCAGGTCTCTGCACAGATTATTATTCTAGTTCTCTTTGCAGCAACCTTTCATATATTTGAAAACTGGTACTATAAGAGTGAGCTACAAAAATATGCAGAAAGCTCCTTCAAAGTAACTGAGTGAACACAGGGACACAAACTGCAAACAACTAATGTATTTTTGTCATTGGAGTATCAACTGAATGGCAACTGAGTCAGAACTGTCCTTTCACTAGCAGAGAACAATTCATAGTAGGATCCAACAGAACATCCTCATGGCCTCTAAGCCAAGCACAACAGTTAATACACAGAACTATGATCTGGTTTTAGAATCATAGAATAGCTAAGGTCGGAAAGGACCTTAAGATCATTCAGTTCCAACCCCCCTGCCATGGGCAGGGACACCTCAGACTAAACCGTATCACCCAAGGCTTCGTCCAACCTGGCCTTGAACACTGCCAGGGATGGAGCATTCACAACCTCCCTGGGCAACCCATTCCAGTGCCTCACCACCCTAACAGGAAAGAATTTCCTCCTTATATCCAATCTAAACTTCCCCTGTTTAAGTTTTAACCCGTTACCCCTTGTCCTATCACTACAGTCCCTAATGAAGAGTCCCTCCCCAGCATCCCTATAGGCCCCCTTCAGATACTTGAAGGCTGCTCTGAGGTCTCCACGCAGCCTTCTCTTCTCCAGGTTGAACAGCCCCAACTTTCTCAGCCTATCTTCATATGGGAGGTGCTCCAGTCCCCTGATCATCCTCGTGGTCTCCTCTGGACTTGTTCCAACAGTTCCATGTCCTTTTTATGTTGAGGACACCAGAACTGCACACAATACTCCAAGTGAGGTCTCAATAGTCCAAGTAAGGTTTCAAGCATTGAGATACTACCTGGTTCTCATTGAACTTCTGATAATCTAGAGTAAGACCTGAGGCAATTTTGGATCTTTTTAGTAATGTTGTTTTGCCATTACTAAGCTGAAGATGACGATTCCCGGCTTTGCTGCAAAATGAATTTTTATATATGGCAAAGATTGCAGAACGTGAAATGGTTAAAAGGCAGTTCAATCCCTTTCCTTCTACAAATGTATTCACCAAAAAAGCCTTTCTTCCTCCCTCAGCTAGGCCACTGAAAACCAACACAACAACCACAAGTAGAAAAAAGTGAGGTTTTAAAAACCAGTGTCAGAAACCATGCACTTGAATGTTTTGAATCCAAGAGCTCTCTTGTTGCTGGCATTACCAGCAGCATCCTTCACTAAGATACATACTGACCAACTCCAGAGTGAAAACTTACTCTCAGTTTCCACAAATTTCAGGTCAAACTTCTTCAGGACACCCACTTCCACATCTGTGTGGAAAATCTATTTTAAAAATCACTTTCACACTGCTGAAGATTTCAGATTAGTCAGAAACCGTTATTTTTAAACAAGTTTTCATACGAGTCACTATTCCAAGCCCTTTAGAAACTCACGGCTGCTGGCAGAAGCACACTAGTTGTGCCACATCTCCTATGTGGGGTACTTTAAACAAACCCAGAGAGATTTTTCAGGCCACAAACTTTGACCTGCCTTTAGGATGTGACTATGTCAAGCTGTCCATCATTTTTGCTTGCCTATTGATCTGTATGGATTTGCTTTTCAGATGGCTGCCTCACTAAACCTAAATCACTGCAAAACCACAACAGCTGTATGTGTAGAAATGTGAAGAAACAGCAATAATCAAGAAAAACCCCAAACATTGTTACAGGGTGCAATAATAACGCCAGCCCATCACTGTGCAAGGCCAGGCGGCACACAGCCGAGGATGAGCCACAAACCCCGCTGCTTTCCTGCGCCGAGCTACCGCTGCACCCACACACCTCGCACCGTGGGGAGCCGGGCTCAGCTCTTTACTCCTCCTCATTCCCGAGCCGCCCACCCGGTCCGGCCTGCCCGGCGCCCCAGCTTCCCTCAGCCCCAGCCCGCTCGCCTGACACGTACCACCTGGACGGCGCAGCCTCGGCCCGCCGGCGGCCGGGGGGGCACGGGGCGGCGGGCCCCGGCTCTGCCCGCCTCCGCCATGACAGCCTCCGCCCCTCACTCCGGAACGGCCTGCGGGAGCCGGAGCTCCAGGCCGGGGTGGAGGCGGGTGTTCGCGGCGTGCTGCCGCTTTCGCTCTCGCCCCGCTCGGGTTTCCTCCCGAGGAACCGGCCCCGGCGCTCCCGCTCCTCGGGCCCGCGCAGCCGCCGCCGCCGCCTCGTCCCCTCAGGCCTTTCCCGCCCCGCGCTCCGGCGAGAGCTCCCTCAACGCGCGCTGGGCAGAGGAACAACGATGGCTCCGGAGGCCGGAAGCTGCTTTGGGCGGCGAGCAGCGAGGCGCTTGGGGGGAGGCCGGGTCGCTCGGCCGGGAGCGGCTTCGGCCTCAGGCTGAAGGGCCCCGTGAGGCGATTTAAAGCTTTAAAGGTGCGCGGTGTCAGCTCCGGCTGCCCCGGCCTGGCTCGGGGTGTGCTGGTCGGGCCGCAGGCGGCTGAAGGGCTTCTGTGTGGAGGCAGCTATTAGTTAAATAAGTGGAGCCTGCGGTTTCCCACCCGTTCTCTAATCGCATTGTTTTACGTGCGTCTCTCCAGTCAGCACTGGGCTGCTCAGTGCAACCAGGGCCTTTTCCAATAAAAACGAGGAAATACTTCCTGGCTGCAATGATACCATTATCGATCATTGACTTACTTGTGCAGCCACTTAACTCCCCTGGAAGTAGTCACAGCTAAAAGGTAGAGCAAGAGCAGGCCCTGTACAACAACCTGTTTTAAACTTTGCACAAAGCGATTCTTGTTGAGCAGAATCCAGAGATTATCCCTTGTTTATCTGAAGAGCGTTCAACAGCCAGACAATGCACGCAGCAAACACAGTGGAGTTATCTTAAAGTGTTCTCTGGCACACCAGTCGCAGAGCTGAGGAGGTGAGGACGACAGCCAAGCAGTAATTCACCCTCGGAATCTATTTCAAGTTATCTACACGGCTTCTCTCCATCCAGCCTCAGTTTAATCTCTCTGAACAGCACTGCTGAATACGATCATTGCTTTCTCTGGTGACGAAGGCTGAGAGCACTTCGATGCTGCCTGCATGCCTTGCTTTATCTAAGAAAGTGTAGCAGAGTATTGCCTTACTCGTGCTGAACCAAACAAAAGTCCCAGTCAGGGACCAGTGCCTCATTATACGAAGCAGTCTACAAAATGCAGAGCAAACCCCATACTTCCTTCCCAGAGGAGAGTACAGAACTAACCGAAACCACCAGCAATGTTATATTCTGCAGCTGACCACAGAGGGTAATTAAATACAAACCTCTCCTTAAAACGTGGTTCTCATTTGGGGGGGATTTTGGACAGACTTTTAAAGGCCCACAAGCATGCAGAAACTATTCAGTGGGATTTTCAGTGCAACCTAGGCATCTAGCTTTCCATTGTGAGAGTCCTTACCTACTGGCTTGTGAAAACCTAGCAGGCATTTCTGTGTTCTTGGGCAATTAAATAGTTTTCAAAATACAGTCCATTGTTTCAGTGCCTGTTCCTGTGGGTCAGAATGGAAAGAGATCTAATGCTGTCACAACAGACTCATTTAGAAACAAGCAAAAATGGTTTGGTCCTAGTTGTACTTCCAATTGCTCTGCTTCAGGGGTTTTTCAGAGTGGTGAGGAACAGTACAGAAAGTTCTCGCAGCTAAAAGCATTCCAGAGTCTAAGACTTTTCTCATCATACTAGTTTTTAGCTTTTATTTCTGATAAAACAGTCTCTTGAGGATCATTACTGTGAGCCTAAAACCTGCAAATTCTGGAGGCTTGAGCAATCAAGTAGAAAGTTTCCTCATCTTAATGGAAAGACACGGTATCTGGAAAGTTGTTTTACTTTCTACGTTTAGTTGTCATTTCAAAAAAGCCTATAGTGTGGACAAGTTAGAGCTGTTGACTTGTGATGATAGCTCTCAACTGATTCACTGGGAGTTTAAAAGAAAGACAAAAAAAGGACTCCTTGTATAGGGTATCACTGGGGTTATTTAGGCAAAGTCGGCTTGCGTTGAGTTTCTTTTTGAAAGGGTCAAACTAACTAGGGGGGTAAGAGAGTATCCTTACAAACAAATCAATTTGTTGGTGGTGTGGAGCATGTGGACAACTTCATTCAGGCATATCTGTATTGGGGTGACCGAGTGAGTATAGAGTTTTCTTCTAACACCATTGTTGCTAAATTTATAAGTTTCAGTACTGAATTACTTCCAGAACACACCATGTTGAAAGGATCATTCAACAGAGTAGGTATTCAGTCTACAGCTAGTTTTGAAACCACTTCTATTCGAAGAATGCTTTGAGCTTCCAAAAATGGTCAGTTATGTTCATAAAATATCATTGTTAAGTGGCAAGAGGGGTGCAATATTTCTTATTATAGTACTATAGGGCAGAATGGGATTTGAGAAGCTCATCTAGCAGTCGTGCCGTCCTAAGACAGGATCAACTTTGTCATAAACTTAAACAGGGGAATTTTAGATTGGCTGTAAGGAAGAAATTCTTCCTGTTAGGGTGGTGAGGCACTGGAATGGGTTGCCCAGGGAGGTTGTGAATGCTCCATCCCTGGCAGTGTTCAAGGCCAGGTTGGACGAAGCCTTGAGTGAGATGGTTTAGTGTGAGGTGTCCCTGCCCATGGCAGGGGGGTTGGAACTGGACGATCTTAAGGTCCTTTCCAACCCTAACTATTCTATGATTCTATGATTCCTGACAAATAACTACTAGCCTATTCACAAAGGCCTTCCTCCAACAGCAGAGGTTTCAGAACATCCTCAGACAATTTATTGCAGCCCTCACTATCTTTACCCTTAGAATGAATTTCTTAATATCTAGATGAGGGATAATGGGTACCAGTTACTGCTGGGGAGATTCTGACTGGACTCAAGAAGAAAAATTTTCACAGTGAGAATAACCAGCCATTGTAGTCATCTCCCCAGGGAGGTGGTGACTCCCCAGCACAGGACGGCTGGCCATGGTGCTGGGACATCTAGTCTGGGTCATGCTTTACCTAGAAGGGATAGACCAGATCTTTTTCCCCTAGCCAAAAACCTCCAGACACCTATCAGTGCCTCAGTTTTAAAGCTGTTGAGCCTATTGCATGCCTTGCCTCTGTTACACAGAAGCTCTTTGCTCTCTCTCTCCACAGAGTAGTCTTCAGTTCCCCAGTTTAGGTAGTGTTAGTAGTTTAAATATTTTCCCTTAGGCAAAAGTTAGCCTCCTTTCCTCCTACCTTAGCTGATTCAGCAAGTTGACCACATTTTAGGCCAGATGTGAAAAGTTTTGCTGGGCTATTAAAACAAACCAAACCAACAACAACACCACCACCACCCCCCCCAGCCCCGAGCACTCTATCCTGCTTTTTTACAGGCCTAACAAAGAAATACCTATTTCATAATCAGACATAGAGTCAATACAAATGAGAAGGCAACTAACCTGCCAAAGATAAGACGAGAATCCCTTATACAGGACACAGCCCAGCATCTCCTGAGCCTGTAGCACTGCCCTGAGAGGCTCCCTCAGCCCCCTCTTTCAGGGGTGCTCTCACAGCTCTCTCCCCTGCGGTTTATCCCTGCAGCTGTGTGCTTTCCCTCTCAGCTGCCTTCTGGCTAATGCCTGTGTTAACTCGTTCTTTGCCTGAGAGGGCTTGCAAACTCCATCCCAAATCTGTTATTCCTTATCCACCCTGCACCCCGCCACAGCTACTATTTATGTATTGTCAAGTTATTGTCACATTTTCCTCCCATCCTGCTCTCTTGTTAAGGTTATGAACATCTGATTCTTTCAGCCCTTCCTCGCTGGTTGTGCTTCAGACCTCTGTTCATTCTCATCTGGACTCTCTGGGTTCTTTGCATCTCCACTGGGAGATGAGACCCAGCGCCAGACCTGGGGTTCCTGCTGGGGTTGGACCAGTGCTGGGCAGAGCAGGATTACTTTGCATGTCTTACAGACCCTACTCCTGTTTGCACAGCTTAGTGCAGTGTTTGCCTTTTTCACAATGGCTTGACACTGTTGACTCCTAATCAGCTTGTGATCTATTATATCCCCTAGATCCTTTTCTGCATGAGGGAAACAGTATTTTAGCAGTTTTAGTCCAGTCAACCACATGAGAAGAAAATGACTGAAGTAGTGTGAGTCAGATTATCTGCTTTGTGCTTCAATACCAGAATTGTTTACTGGTTTCCAATTAGTTACATGTGTACACCCTGTTAAGGGGGTTGCACAAGTGCTGCTAATGCCTTCCTTTGGCCTTCAGAGACTTTATTACTAGTGGAGACTAGTACCTAGGAGTTATTTGGACCAATTTCCCTGTGTACTCAAGACTTCAAATGCTCCGCTGAAATTGCAGGGCTGATTGCTCTGAAAAAGCCTCTTATAATTTTGAGATATTGAGGTCGAATAATCTCGTTGAAAAATGCTGTTGCTTTTTTGAGAAGTGTTGTGTGAAACAAATTTGCCTCTTCAAAACACTAGCTGTCGTTGCAAAGGATGTTGCTGTTGCTTGGGGTTTTTTTGTTAAATGAGTCAATCTGAAGAAGCCTGTGGTTGTTTTTATGAGCTGGCAAATGTCACAAATATTTTGTTAACAGAAGAACTGGACTTAAGTACCTTTGTGGGTAAACTAGAAAGATGTCATTCATTTCAGTACCATTCCACACCTCCAAACATACACTCTTCTTGACCACCATCAGTCATCCCGCTCCCCATGCACCTTCATTTCATGTCCTCTCATCACCCTGCTGGGCCACACTGCAGTTTTCTGCAGGTCCTCTGTTCTGCTCGAGCCATCCTCTTAGCTGCTCTAGTTCAGGCTACTGAGTATACTCTTATGTTTAGTGTGGCCTTGTGGTAATAAGGCTGCAGGAGATAAAGTAGTGGCAAGGGAGAGGCATGGTTCTTCCACAGAGCTGAAGATCATCAGTGCAGGTTTTTCTTTACCTAGGGCTCCAATACTTGAACAACTTTTATGCAAAGTTACACTTTCGTTTGGCAATCCTTTCATAAAGGAGTGCTTCTGTATAATTTGTGTATATTTAGAATGCAATAAAAGAAACATCTGAAGTCTGCTGCAGAATCCAGCGATAGGCAATAACCACCTGGTTAATGCAGCTTAGTTTTGTTATTAAGTAACCA